GTAAAGTTATATGACAGTGTAAGCTCTTTTGGCCACTCTGTTACTGATACAATACCTGGCAACACTAGTATCATTTAGGGTAACTGCCTGTTGCAAAGCCGCCAGAGTGTCTGTGAGGGTGGAACTTGCTTGTAGTATGTTATATACACTCCTATGACTAGATCAGATAAGTACAAGTACCAGCCTGACATAGGTATGTGCCTCAATAACATGAAATAGCAGAAAGTCATATTCACCTAAAAAGGCAGGTTGTATGCTACTTTTGGCAGGGTTCCCACACTTGTTTATGCTTCTCAACGATGATTTGGGTACTATATATCACTTTCCAGCTGGGAGATACATGCTAGACATCTGGAAAGAATTACTAGCAATGAATTCTGTTGTTTGAGACTTGACCTCAAAGATCCTTCTATTGCATGGGAACTACACCATCCAATCACATAACTGTGACTGTATTCTAAAGCTTACATGTAGGGCATTCCAACGCACCAACATTCATGTGATTTGGTGTTTCTGTTGCAGAAATATAGAGTGATCATTCCGGATCAAGCAATCCTATCAATGCTTTTGTGGTGAACTGTATACTTTGTACCTCAATACTCTCAGACTATCAATTTATATATGTAGTCCAAGGCCTTTGGTTCATGCACAAAGCTGGCATACTTCACTGCATGTACATGCCAGTGACTTGTCGAGCGCTTAACAATGATTGAATGTAGTCTTGTTATACGGCCTGTAATCAAGGAACAGTCGACACCTGACACCAATTCCTAGAGTCAAATCAAGAGGATTTCTCGAGCACAGGATTTTTTGTGTTCATACTTACAAGGTACCTGCACAGGGTGTCCGCCTTACGGTGTGTGATGTGAGAGGCACAGTGCTTGTCTTCGCCCTTTGTTTCGCACAAATGAGCCCACTATTTTCATGTCTCTGGGGATCTAATGAAGGTCTACAAGAGTTGTGTATATTTGAAATATGGCAGCATGGAGTACTGAGTGCTGTATGCAATTTTCTCAATTTTCCTAATTGTTTGTAGCCTATGAATTTTAAAGTCCATTTTGCAGACTTCGGACATGAATTTTGGAAACTGTTGTAGGATGAATTCCAGATGAGACTAGAGATGGCCGACCAGCTGATAGCTGTCTGTAGTGTTGTGCCTGGCTTGGCTTGGCCCGAAAGCCATGGCTTTGGCCTGGCTTCAGAGAGCCCAGGCCTCAGCGGGTGCTGAGCCAGGCCCTGGCCATGGGCTTTGGCCTGGCTTGGGCTTGGCTCGGGCTCAAGCCATGGCTTGTTACTTTCTCACAACTTATGCACAGTGGCTGATCATGGGATTTACATTGAGTGTGGAGCATCGTTAAAAAAGACTGTGTATCATAGTAAGTAGGTAGACATATAGTAGCTGTTGGAAATACAGTCAAAACTTACAGTAGTAGATCACATGACCATGTATGTGTTGACTTTTGGGTACATCGGGCAAGCATCACTGCTGGCCCGGGTCACATGTTCATGCACCAGTGTGGGAATAGGACTTATGTAGATGCTGCACACTGTAGGTAGCCCCATTGGTTTGTAACCTTATCCACCATTGATCCATGTCCATCGAGGATGTTGTCTGCTGGTGGTCTTTCTGGCGTCATTCTCACAGTATGGTATGTTTGTTCTGTACTTGGTTCCCTATGTGTTTGCTGGTTACAAGCCGTGTTGAACACTGTTGATTTCTACCATCTTCAGTCTCGATCCCTGCTATGAATATAGTATTAACAAAGAAGACAAGTGGAAGACAAGTGAGCTGACCAAGACACTCAAGTGCAGAGTCTGCCATTCAGCATGAAGCGCCCATTGTCTCCGGTGTACAGAGAACGTCCTCATCATGGAGTTCTGGACACTGTGGAGACATACCAAACAACTTGTTAAGGTATGTGATTGCGCCTCTCGCATCCATAATAAGCTGATGGGTGCTGCACCAGAGGTCCAAACTAGTACTGCAGGCCCCGGGCTTGCTGGCCTGGCTCGGGCTTCCTCCCAGCGAAGCCAGGACCTACTGGAGGGCTTGCACAGGGCTTTGGCCTGGCTTGGCCTGACCTATCCGGGCTTGGCTTGGCCTGGCTCGGGCTTCTAAGCCAGGCCCGGCACAACACTAGCTGTCTGAGCTTACTGAGATAACCACCGCCTTTCATTGAAGCTCGATATGTCGCATCCATTCTCACTCTGTCGGTCCGACATCGCGCGATCTACTTCGGGCATGCCAATATCATGTTCCGGCCATGACGCCTCCTCCTCTATATCACGGCAATTTGAACTACATAAGTACATCGAAATCCCTTGCGATCTGCTCCCCATCTTGATAGCTCCTCTGCCGAAGTCTGCTGTGCCTACGCGCGTAGAATCTGCGAATTTTCAGAGCCTGAGGGCTACTCCAGGCACCGCAGCACCTGGTTTAGATATTGCGCGGGACAGGTGAATTGTAGCGAGCCCGCGCGACGCGTTGCGTCGAGCAAGATCTTGACAACGCGTTTCGGAGATGGAATTGCTTACGTAACTCCGAAGTTGTCGGGACTCCCCAAATTTAATCAGACTAGGTTCGGGGCATCTTTCGATGCAATGCGGAGAACATCAGCGCCCTTGGAGTGGCTGGACGCCCTATACGTCGCATTGTAGTAATGTATTGGGACACCTGGAAGAAGTTCGAGTCGTGGGAAGCATCGTGGTCTTGCTGAAAACAAAGACCATAGAATACGTTGTGAGAACCAAGATGCTTACGATAGAATGGAAGGAATGTCGAAAGGCGCGAGTAAGATGATCGGAACGAATAGCTGAGATTGTGCCAAAGGAATCCTATCCCCATTGCTACGATGTGTCCAAGGTACGAGATCGAAGAAATCGAAGCTATACCAGCTACTTACGTTGTTGGCAGCAGCACATTAGGAAAAGAAAACTCAAACAGTAGCGAGCCTCGACATTACTCGCTGGTCTTCCACCGGTTTGCTAGTTGGATCGAGAAAGCCCTGTATCTTCTCTCGTGTACCTCATGGTACATCATCAAACGTTGTTAATGTTAAAGGGTCTGTTTCTCAAGATAGTGCCTTGCTTGGTACTGATGAACCTTGTTGCTGCCACAAGTGTAGGGAAGCGTAGGGCGGCCTCGCGGCACCTGACTACCTTCCTTTGATATTACATTGCTCCGATCCCCTCGTGAGGCTTCTCGATATTCCGCACCGTCTGATTATGATCCCAAGATGGCGTCGAGGCAACATCGTTACACATGAGTATCGTAGTGCTGTGTTCCTGGCGGAAGCATCAAGGCCCATCGGGCGATCCATTCCGGTTGATCTCAACATACATCGGTAGCGCTGAGTCTCATATTCGGTACCATGTTGTTACGAGCTCGCGTCTGCTGTTTTCCACCACATACATGGCTGATTGTTCACGACACGGTACTTACGCGACAGCTCTTACCCGGCACAGCCCGCACTATACATTTGAAGTGAGCCTAGCAATAACCAAACGTGAGAATTCGGCTCCTGCCGTCCCCCACTGTCAAGTGATATACTGATAGATTCCACACGACGAGTTCATGACGACAAGAAAGGGTCCAGCAATATGCTATCCACGGTCCCATGGGTGTAAGCGTTGGGGTGCTGCTCTTCCTGGTCATGTCCTCAGCATTTTTTGCTTTCGTTGATGGGAAAAACAGAGTCAACGCCAACGCCAACCTGAAAACCACTATCCGTTAATATTCCTGTCCTATTCCATTTTCTCTACATGATATGTCGCCTCAAGGCGCATTTCGCACCATGTCTATGAGACCAAAGCGCGCCTTGGCAGCGACGCGGTTTCCAGTATCCAATCTTATTTTGACAGCATAAACGGTGTACTATCTCATTTATGTTCGAGGACGGGAACCCTTCGGACCTGTGCCATAGGATTAAGCTCCATACAAGCACATGCTACAACTGCTTACGAAGATCGTGACAATGAGCTCTTTGATTGATATCTTGTCGCAGACATGGCGCGACCGGTCTGGAGTAATTTCTAATCGTGTTTCTCATCATATCTCAGACTGTCACTAGGCTAACAAGAACCGAATAGTGGCTGCTCATCGAGGACGTCCCAAGCCACACCCATTTATCATGGGGCACCGACGGTCACGTATGAAGGCCTGAATCGCGCCGGACCTCTGGCAGATTCACCGTGGCTACATCTCCATTCTATGGAACCTCAGACCTTCTCGTCTTGGAGGCAACAGCCTAAGTATACATGTTGCTTACTCTCGGGGACGCAAAAGAGTAGAAGGAGCGGTCATCGGGCTGGATGATGGACACATACAGTAGGCGTCAATTCTAGTAAGTGGTCTCATGCTGCACAGGGAGTACCAGCACAAACACGAGACATATGAAACATTGTGATGTGCTTCTGCGATGAACACTAATTGTCTCTCTGCTGAACCGTGTCCCAGCCTTGTAATGACGTTAGAACCTACGATTAGGTATCCTCGAGCTTGCGGAGGCCCAATCGTGCCAGATCCATACAATGATGCATGTCGGCTGTTACAGATCGGCACGGGCGGAGAAGAAGTTCCTGGCTCACTCATCTACAATCGTGCATTTCCTTGCGGTACGCCTGGTCGGTGTCATCCTCGGCCAATTCCAGATCCGACTGTATGCGGAGTCTGAATTTCCCTTTGTGCTGGCAAGCCGCTTCCAACTCTCTGTGAGCGCCTCGTCAAATGTCCTGCGAACGAAGGGCTACTGTAAATGGTTGAGTCAGAGACTATATACATGCTACTGCTACTAATACCAACTCGTGCGGCCAGGTAATTGATAGCGACAACAAATTTGAGGCCGTGCGTGGCTCGCAGAAGTCAAATGTCTCTGGTCCAAGGCTATCGAGTACTCTATCCACGTATCGTGATTCAATCTCACTGGAAACACTCAATCTCTCTCTATGTGCGTCTATCTACCTGCTCGGTGTACCTGGAGACCGCTCAGGGAGATTAGCGAGCCATTCATCGTCTCTTGCTCCGCCGCATGAGAGCAACTGCGTTCTTTCTGATTATGGTATTCTGTTGATGCAGCCTCGTAGTATTGGGCGTTTATGACAGTCTGGCAGCGTGTGATACTCTAGCCAGTGCACAGTGTTGGAAATATTCATGATCTCCGTGTACCACGGCCCATGGTTCGTGCTCTAATGCGTAACCTTATCTCTGGAACAGCATGCTAAGTACTTTCAGCGATTTTCACATCCTGATGATTCATCGTCCATTCTACACTCAGACGCGCATCCCGCAGTTTAAGTACCGAGAAGGGGTAAACCTATTCATCGACCTCAGCAATGCCTACTCCTATCGCCATAGTATGTCCTTCTATCGATAATCTCACATCAATCCTCATTCTTCTCAGGTCGGAATCTCTGCCGAGTTACCTAGCGGGACTTACTCGAAGGCGAATCTAGAGCACAGCTCCTTCTTTGATTTCCTGCTCAACGGCGAGGAGTCTTACGAATGTATGCCCGACGGTAGATTCAACGTTGAGGCGTACGTACCCCACATGCATGTTGTCATTGAGTGCATTGCTTACCACATGTACCAGGTGGAAAGGGAACAACCGCGGCGAGATTAGAGTCAATGCTGGATCATTTCTCAAAGACATAGACTTGTTTGACAACGTCGAATTTGGAATCTCTGCTAGAGACGCCCGTACCATGGCTCCAGCGACCAGGAAGCTCGTAGAACAGTGCTTCCTGGCCCTCGTGGACTCGGGAATTGACTACCGCAACAGAAACGTCGGGTGTTTCACCTCTGGGACGAATCTGGAGTTGACCAACGTCGCTGACCCGGTAAGGGTTTACACCGCTGCTCGCATGCTTCAGGCACTTACATGACTATTCCAGGACGAATTTGACTGTGAAGGATCGTTCGCGGGAAACCCATCCATGATATCCAACCGCGTCTCCACCCATCTCGATTTACTCGGACCATCTGTCCCAACTGATACGGCGTGCAGCTCTTCCCTCACAGCATTGCACTTGGCAGTGCAGTCCATTTCAAATGGGGAATGTGATGCCGCTGTCGTTGCTGGATGTCAGCTCAACCACCGGTGAGCGGAACGCCCATGTCGGGGCTGCCACACACTGACGGAGGCGCTCGTTAGCTTCATTGATTGGGTCACTTACAGTCAAGGGTCCCTCCTATCCAGCGATGGGAAATGCAAGCCATTTGATGCGTCGGCTGACGGGTAATGAATACTATCCTGAGTATGTCAGCACTCTCATTAGCTTCTTGCCCAGATTTGGAAGGGCGGAAGCATGCGTGGCGATTGTGGTTAAGCCTCTTCAGCAGGCGATCCAGGATGCAGATCAGATCTATGCGACGGTATGCATCCAATACCGTCTTCCTCAATGCGGTATGTATTCTGACCACGATATGTAGATTTTAGCCACGGCAATAAACTCCTCTGGCGGTGGAGCTCCTCCTGGTGCACCAGTGGCTGAAGCTCAGCGTGATGCAATGCGACGAGCTTTCAAGCTTGCAGAACGCAACCCACGAGAAGTGGATTTTATCGAACTTCATGCTACAGGTCAGTTTCCTTGTCGAGCCTTTATACCTGTATTAGTTGAATCTATGGATATATAGGTACTGCGAAGGGCGACCCTACCGAAGTTAATTGGGTCGGAGAGGAATTTAGTCGTGAAGATGAAGTGCTGATAGGGAGCGTCAAAGGAAACATTGGGTAATGCGCTCTGCTATTCGGAGTCACGACCAGCGATTGACGTTCAGTTTTTAAGACATACTGAGATCGCCGCCTTCCTGGCATCACTTTCGAAAGTTATATCCATTTTCCGGTCACGCCAAATCCCTCCCAATGTCAACGTAAAGGAGCTGAATCCCGCAATACAGTGGCTCAAGTATCAATTACGCGTGCCACGATCTCCAACTCCTCTTCCATGTCACTCCGCGCGTGGCCCGTTGATTGCTATGTCTAGCTCTGGGATCGGTGGATCGAACGGGCACGCCGTCCTAGAAGGACCACCGACTCGCGGGTCCTTAGATTCTCGTGCGGAGATCATGGCTGCACAGCCAAGTCTCCTAGTATCTGCGGGGCTATCTTCTCGTAGCACGGTCGCATTTTCGGAATCGATCACCAACATGGCAACTAGAAGTGCCTGCGAAGTGCCAGTCTTGTCCACGATCCTCGGGCGTCGATCTCGTTCCATGACTTGGCGCTCCTTCGCGATTGCCGATTCGGCGTCTTTGGGGAAACTTCAATTCTCCTCCCCTCAGCTCTGCCCCCGCGAGGCACGTCCCGTGGTGTTTGTATTCTCAGGACAAGGGCCTCAGCACGAGCGCAGTACGTCCCTCAGCTCCCTCGCATACACTCGTCCCTAATGTTTCTTCAGTGGGAAGAGAGTTGTTCGAACGATTCACCGTCTTCCGTCATAGTGTTCTAGAGATGGACAGGATCTATGAGACGTTGACAGGCAGTTCGATGCTTCGTGACTATGGTCTTTTCGATGGCTGTGGATCTCCAGGAAAGCTCAAGGACGTATGGCCAATATCTCTCATCTTGCCTTCCATTGCGATGTTCCAAATAGCGCTCTTCGATCTCTTGACGAGCTTCGGCATGAAGCCTGACATCATTATCGGCCATTCTGCAGGAGAAACTGCCATGCTTTACGCGTCCGGTGCCGCTCCGAAGGAGATGGCCTTCGAGCTGGCCGTCATTCGCGGACGTGCTTTCGCGCCTCTCGAAGCCCTCGGTGGTGGTATGGCGGCCATATCATGCGGGAAGGAAGACGCAGAGGAAATCATTGCCAGCGTACGCTCAGAACTCCCGGACAACATCCTCGAAATCGCCTGTTTCAATTCACCCTCTGCCATCGCCATCGCGGGCCACGACATCGCAATCACACGGGCGCTGGAGCTCTGTCAGACTCGAGGTGTGTTCGGTCGCAAGATCCGCACGAGCGTGCCCATGCACTCGTCCATGATGGAGCGGTGTCGAGAAGACTACTGCAGAGAGCTCCGAGCACTGTTTGAGCGGTACCCTGGCCAGCACGTCCCACAGATCCCGACGTACTCGACATTGACAGGAGAGAGGTTGTCCGACTCGATCGACGCCGACTACTTCTGGAGGAATACGCGATCGCCCGTACGGTTCACGCAAGCGATGGAAAGGCTTACCGCGTCGCAGTCGTGCACATTTGTAGAGATTTCACCACATCCTGTCCTGGTGTCCTACATCTCATCCATGGCCGGCGACGGTAGCCCGGTCATATCAACGATGCATCGCGTGAAGCCAAACATGCCGTCTGTGGATCACGTCGATCTATTGAGGGTGTGCGGTGAGCTGACCGCCTCTGGGTTCAATGGGGTCAATTTTACCGCACTCAACAATCGAGCCTGCTACGAATGCGACGTCTCCCTTCCCGCCTATCCATTCTCGAAGAAGAGCTACGCACTCTATCCGGACACGCCTGGATATGCGAAACAGATGGAACCCCATCTTGGACCACTGAACCACCGGTATCTCAGAATCAACAAGGATACGCATCCGGTCCTTGCAGAGCATGTCATCAGAGGAGAGCCAATCATGCCCGCGGCGGGATTCATCGAGATGGTATTGTTTCTGTCTCTTATCCGTGCTATCAACTTCTCATTGTTGTGTGTCTAGGCCATCGAGTTTGGCGCCACTGCTCTTCTGCACGTTGACCTCAAGGCGATTTTGTCCCTTTCATCTGAGACCCCACCGGCGGTAGAAGTGGAGCTGAACTCGTCGTATTGGAAAGTCCAATCTGTCACGTCTCATGATTGGCACTCGGGCAAAGTAGGCATCGTTGGGACTCCATGCACAGTACATATAAGTAACCGATCCCTTTCACCCAGCAGCAGAAGCGCCTGCATGCGGATGGATACTTGACGTTCGAGCCATCTCAGCCTCTCAAAGATATAGATATTGCCACAATCCGACAGCGATGCAAAAACCATGTGGGCTCATGTACGCAGTTTTGGGGCTGTATGACAGGTTCAATACTGAATGGCGGATTCTGTACAGCGTTCTACTCGTCTCTCTCATACTTCTCTGCCTACGGCCCCCGACTGCGTCGCGTGACGAACGTCTATTACAGCGAGAAAGAAGCTCTCGTCTCCATCAAAGGGATGGATAATGCACTGAAGCAGTATGTTGTCCTTCTACCCTCCCGACTCACATACGTGACTTTGCCGTAGGTCTGGCAGATATCGATTACATCCTGCAATTCTGGATGCCTGCCTGCACATGACGGCGCACAGGCCTTTCAACGGCAACTATGATCAGAATGCGTATTACCTTCCTGCACACGTCGATGCAGTCCTCCTCCACCGCAATCTTGCTGAGGAACAGCTGCCGCATCATCTCTATGCGCATGTCGTCCTCAAAGAATGGTGGCCAGGTAGTACCGTCCTATTCATGTTTGAAGGACAACAGCTCACCAGGGTATCATTAATAGAACAGATATGTTACGACATTGCGCTCGTGGATGATTACGGACAGCGTATCTGCTCCCTGCAATCACTTATAGTGGCTAAACATCACATCGATCCATTACCCGCCGTGCAACGGCCTCTACACCTTATCTATCAGCCTGCATTCTTTGCCCCACAGCAACCAACCCCTGCTTCCCTATCGTGCAATGATCCGCTGCGAATCAAGCTGGATACGATTAACTGTTATGTGAGCTGGTTAGCCTGTGCATCAGTGCTTGGTTGCTAATTTGCAATAAGGCTGATTCTCATTCGCTGGCGTCGGCTCTGAAATCAGCTGCACTCCAACAGGGGGCGGCTTTGCAACGTGCCGTGACATCCTTGGCTCGAGATGCCCCTCAGCGCGTAGTGCGAGTCGCAATCGCTACAAAAGGTGACGAGTAGTTCTATATGTCACATCCGAGCTTGTGCTGAATGCTGCCGCAGAACGCGAACTCGTGTCATACCTGATCACTGTCCTCAACGAATTTCCTGCATTGTTCTTCGAGATATTCGTCGGTAACGAAGAGCAACGGGAGCTGTATGCGTCACGCGTGCAGTCTGGTGTGGTTCGAACTGCAGACCTGGATAAGGTGCTTACGGGCGAAGACCTCCCGGAACATCCATATTACGACATCCTCGTTGTCTTCGATCGATCATCCGGCGAGGATAGATTCCGCTCCATTTTATTGCGCTGCAGTAGCTGCGTGGTGCCGGGAGGGATTTCTGTTGTGACAGCACAGCTGCACGGATCTCGTGGATACCAGGTCGAGGAATCCATTCGAGGGCCATACGAGCAACTGGGCATGGCCGTCCTCGGCAGCAAGCAGGGCAATTCTGACCCTCCGTCCGCTACAACGATTGTTAGTCAACGTATAGACCATCGCTCCACCACCGACACCACGCTGTTCGCCCGCGACGCGCTCATCTTCGCTTACAGCCACGGCCAGGAGATGACTCTTCAACAGTATTTCAGGAACTTGGACTCGTCCGAAGAGCTGGACGTATGGATCTTGGCAGGCCGCGACAGCGGACGCGCATCAGGTCTCCTACGTGCTCTCCGACGCGAGTACATCACTTGGACCATACGGCTTGTCGTCTTCCCACCCTCATTCTCCGAGAAACAGAGGAATGAGTATCTTGTGAAAATACCAGCCATAATGCGTCAAGAGCCGGAGATACTGGTTTCTCCAGAGGGCACATTTCTCGTCCCTCGGTTAGTCCCGATACCACCCATTCTTCCAGATCCAGTTTCGGAGCAGAAAAGCTTCCCTGGAAGTGTCCCTCTAGACAAGGTGCTAGTGGACGTATGTTCTTCGTGGACGTTCAATAGTTGTGCGGCAATCCTCGGCATTGTCAACGGGACGCAGTCGCCTATGCTACCAGCGGGCACATGCGTGGTGGGCGTCCTCGACGGCGTCCCTGTGCAGCCATCCATCATCCACGCGGACCTGGTATTGCATGTGTCCCCCGAGGTGCTCAGCTTGGCAGCCGCTGGCCCCGCCTGCCTCCTGGGATTCCTCTCCGCGGTTCTCGCTCCCGGACTATCTACCTTCCGACGTCTGCAGCGATTGCAGTCCATGCGCATCCTGCTGACGCATGCTGATTCGCCAGTTGGACGAGCTATCGCATTCCTATACTCTGTGCTAAAGGTCGAGCACGTGAAACTCGACCAGAACGCCAGCATGCTAGACCTTGCCCGTGTGGGCAAGGGGAGCTTCCACTTGATCATCTCTGGATATGAGGGCACTGACGCAGGCCCAATCACTTTCATGCGATCTCTTCTGCTCCAAGGCGAAGGGAGGATGTTCCTGTGGAATACGGAAGATGAGGGCGTCACCAACATTCTCCGAGCAGATCCTTGCACAGTTCAGGATGCTCTCGCGGTCGTTGTCCCCATGCTGGAAGAACACGTAAAAGACCTTCAACCCGTATCGTCCTCTCCTGTCGACACCAAATCAAGTGACGTCGAGGTATCATCGAATATGCGGGATCGCGCCACGCTCTTCGACGCAAGTAAAGCTTATCTCATAGTCGGCGGGATCGGGAACGTTGGAGCACATCTCTGTATGTACATGTATGAGGTAAGGTGCTTGAATTGTGTGCAAGACGACGTCTTCCTGATCACAGTCACTCTAGCGAGGCGCACGGCACATGATCGTCACGTCGCGCCGTGGGCGGGCAGGGTTGCAAAATAACACAAATCCGACAGTGCAACGCCTGTTTGAGTACATGGAGACACTCGCTGATCTCGACCTCCGCTTGGAAGCTGTCGATGCTATCTCAGTAGCCGACATGTCTCGCCTGATGAAATCAGAAGCTCTGGAGATTGGCGGATGCATCATCCTAACTGCAGTGCTCGCAGATCGTACCTTCCAGCACATGACAGAGGCGGATTTCTCGGCAGTCTTCGCCGCGAAGGTTGGCGTGCTGAAGACTATACAGCACGTGATTGACGTCGACCATGCGGACTTTGTGGTCGCTTTCACATCTATGTCCGGCTTGTTTGGGTTTGGTGGGCAAACCAATTACGGGGCGTGAGTGCATCTGATACTCTGCAGTCATCGAGCACTCGATAACGTGTTACAGAGCAAATACCGAACTAGAGGAAGAACTGGCTCAGATCCCAAATGCTTTCTCCTTTGTATGTCCCGGTGTGTTGGATACGTCACTGATGCTGGCTGGCAACGATATGGCCGCGCGCCGCCTGGGACATGCGGTCGAATGGTCATTCTCTGCGGAAGGTGAGTAGGGACCTCGATAGTCAGAAGTGTCTTTGATATGACCCTCTCTATCCAGAGATGGTCTTATGGTTCGACGACGCGATGTGGCGACATTACAATCTGCAACGCTTCAGTCGTTACGTGCCAAATATGGACTGGGACGCTCAGGATCGCACGCATGGGATGACGATGTTAGGGCAGCATCTCCTGAGCAGTCAAGAACCAATCTCAACGTCCTCGGAAAGTCGTGGCGACCAGATCACGGAGATCGTACGGAAGACGCTGAATGTTGCCACGAATGACCTATCCGATGACACACCGCTAACAGCATACGGCATTGACTCGCTGTCGGCGGCAAGACTGTCACTTTTGCTCCGTCCATACGTCGAAGTGTCTCAGCTGCAGCTGTTGGCCAACGTGGCAGTAGGTGACCTAGTGCGTCGCGCGTCACAAGCACCTGCCCAAAATTCCTCCTCCGGCATCGCAGGAACAGGACCACAGAAAGAGCAAGTCATGCAAGATCTCGTTGCTCAGTATGCCCCTAACGCACATAGCTCCGTGGTCCCGAGGAGCGCCACAGTGAAGTCTCAGGGACAGACATTTATAGTGACTGGGACGACAGGCTCACTAGGGTGCCACATACTGTCTCATCTTCTCTGCCGAGATGAGGTGAAATTGGTGTATGCCCTCAATAGAAAGTCGGCTGGTGAAACTTCCATTCAGGAACGGCAAGCAGCGGCATTCCTTAATCAAGGCCTTGCCAAGTCTCTTGTAACGTCTCCAAAGCTCGTGCTGGTGGAGTGCGACCTGTCCGCTTCCGACTTCGGTCTTGAGGGTCCCACAATCGACGAGGTGAGTCGTTCTCGACCTTTCGGGTCACGTTGCCAACTAGCTGTTGTAGCTTTTATCTTCTGTCACGCATATCGTACATAACGGTTGGTGGTCGTCCTGAACTACATTTTTCCGCCACTGAGATTCATGTTTTAGCCTGGACTGTCGATCTGTACTCCCCATTGGAACGGTTCGAGAGCCTACTGGATGGGACACGCAGACTACTTGAGTTGGCAAGTCGCAGCAGGCTACCTACTCCGCCGTCCATGTTATTTGTCAGCACGGTGGCTGTCTATCAAGGTAAGGGGGTACTCTATATGAGCCGCTGGCCGGGTTTAACCAATTCTTTGTTGGAATATGCCAGACTACGACCCCACACTTCCAGCCCCTGAAGAACCTGTTCTCTCGCCCGAGGTTGCTGTCCAAAGCGGCTATACAGAATCCAAATGGATAGCAGAGCGCCTCGTCCAAACGGCAGCCCAGTCGCTTTCCCTGAACGCTAGCGTGATACGGGTCGGTTTGTTGACCGGTAGCGTGAATGGCTCGTGGGATACCAATCATTGGTTCCCTGCGTTGGTACAATCTGCAGAGTATCTTGGCTGTCTCCCTGAAGGACAGGAGGTGGGAGCGCCGCACACATGCCACTGCGTAGGTTGCTGACAACTGGGCTGTAGATCGTATCGTGGATACCTGTGGATCTCGCCGCCGCTACTATCGTCGATCTATGCGACATTGCAGCGGATACGCTACACCTTGTCCACCCACAACCGGTCAGATGGAACGCCATCATGGAGCCACTTGCGTCAAAACTCAATGTCCCTCTCGTCCCGTACGTTGAATGGCTTGCTCGCCTTGAGAGTCTGGCAGAAGATGGAGATGTGCATGCCACGCATGCGGGCAAAAACGACAAGGCAGCGCTACGTCTTCTATATGTCTACCGAAAGGCCTTGGCGATGCCAGAGCGACTGGAGGAGAGTATGGGTTTAATGCCACGAGTTGCCATGGGTAAAGCTGTACGTATGTCGCGTACTCTTCGGGAAGGGAGCGCACAGCAGCTGGGACCGGAAGACGTAGACAGGTGGCTCTCATATTGGCGAGTTACGGGATTCATACGCAGCAGCTGAAAGGAATGCTACTCGAATGTATAATGCTTGGTCTATGCAACTTGGTTGGAGGGACTTCAGTTTTGCAGATACATTCACCTGAGATAATAGCCTGAAAGCCGTTACATCTGCTACACTTGCGATGCATCGGTATATGTACTGATACATCTGTATCATGCGGATGCATCTGCGCTGTCTACAAGTACTAACAATACAATATGGGCCCCCTTGCTTATTACTGCCTGCCTTGCGAGTCAATCAACCTCCTCGCGCCCCACCGTTGAAATAATTTGCTACAAAATTCTTGTTGGTTGTGTGCAATACAAACAGCAAACCACGCGCACCAAATCCACTTTTCCTTTGAATCGCATATTTGCCTCGGACGCCAAACGTTCATAATGGTGCGCTTGCCTGTATCATGCTTTGTTAGAACTTAGAACCAGCCTGTTTGATGCACCATAGCTCACCGTCGTACATGCGCTGCCCATGCGTGATCACTCGCCTCACGTTCTTCTGCATGTCTCTGCCATTGCTGCCTGTAATGATTGAAAAATCGCACTGTCCGCCGCATCTCCTCCTTCACCAGTAGGACTTGCTCCCGCCATTGTTGCATTAATGCACTACATCTGAACCAGTGTACGCGCATTGCTATTTGCAGTATTCAGTACCAGCAATCACCCAAGATAGCAGTAGAGTACACTCTTACCATCCTCCAGGAAGTCCGAAGCCTCGTAATGCTACCTTGCTGGCGTTGTCGATAGGGTCTCCGAAGTTCGGTTCGGTCCAGGTTCGGGCCCCCTAGGCTCTGAACCTGAACCTGGACCTGAACCTCTGACGATGGCGTCGGACCGACCCTGAACCTGGACCGAACCTACCGAACAGGTTCAACCACCAGTACCTGGTAGTATCATACATAATGTAGGCTGATCAGCCTCCGTCCGTGATACAAAATCAGGCTGGTTAGCCTGTGCTATGCTGCCTACCCCATGCAGCGTGTCATACAAAATCTGTCCAGGAGTAGTTTGCCTTCGTCATACATGGTAGGCCTGCTCCTCCCATCATTATACATTATCGAACTCGTTTCGGTCTGTGTGCTCATACATGACGGCTCCTAGTACATCAGCAAAACCAGGTTCGGCGTGTAATACAATGTATTAGTTATGAGTTTTCATCAGAATTGGCCATGTTTATTATTAGCTGATATGTAATTACACGCCTATCTAATTATGGGACATGATTCTGAGGTAAACATCATTCAGGCGGTGTGCATGTGCAACTAAGGGCCATAATTGACACAGCTAGATTTTAGCTTTGAATGGCCAACTGAAGACTGAGGAACGACCTCAGCTTCAGCCTGCTTATATATTGCATGAACTACATGACAAACTGTCACGAGTTGGTACGGCGTCTAGCCGTTTTTTAATTTTTCCTTTTCGCGGGCTCGAACCCGCAACCTCTGTACTACATACCGGATATGGACGCGTCGTTATCTACTGTATGATTAGATTAGATGGGGTGGCAGTGCGCGGCACAGCTCGGGCTCCGCTGACACAGCCTCTCTGACTCACCGGCCCCCGGGGCCGCATCAGCATGCTGCGCACGGACCAGCTGTGCACGGACCAGTGCGCACAGCCTCCCCTAAACTCCCCCTGTATATAAGCCGGCCTCTGCTGCCCTAGGGACCTCAGTTTCGACCTCTTGTCCCTAGGTCAGTAAGCCTTCAGTTGTATTCCTTTTTCCTTACCTAACTAATATATTATCTTGTCCCTAGCCTTAGGTTTGAGCGTTGCTCACCATCGCTTCGGTGAGATCTAGTCGGACGCCCCCAGCTTTTAGGTTTTCCCCTGTCGCTTGACCTCAAGTCGTGACACAAACTACATATGACTACAGATAGTGAAATAGGCATATCAGTGAAGAGAGTGATAAGCATACATGAGGAATACATGTGTAAGTAATAGATACCATATATGGAGACGTGATAGGAAAAGAAGAAAAGAGAGTTCCATATGATCCGAATAGTATGTCCGTAATGAAAGAACCATAACATTACCCCCCTCTTTAGAATGACGCGTCCTCGTGGCATGGGTTTGACAAGGTTCTGTCGCTTGGGTTATGGATGTAGATGGGTGGTGGGATTCGTGGTTCGACGTCTCGATTGATGATGATCGACGTGTAGCCACGTTCAGGGTGAGGGGCGAGTTCGATTTCCTCAAGCCCACGTTGTGGTTGATACCACTTGGCCAGTATGATGACCATCCCAGTTGTACATCTGCATGCGACGACTCCGAGTAAAATCCATAAGGTGTTCGTCATCTACCAGAGAGCGACGTTGAGAGGTAAGTTATTGGAGTGTTCGTATAGGCGCGCTTCCGGATGTGTACATACAATGTTTTCGCGGGTTTTGAGGACGGACTGAATGGGATAGGCAAATTTGTTGCCGTGGGGGGATGGGCTATTGACGACCGCAATGTAGCGAACTCTGTGAAGAGAGTCGCAGAACCAGACGTGGCCGATATTTAAGCGCATTGGTAGGATCATGTGCTCGGCGTCTGATTCTAATTCCGCGTGCAATAGTAAAGAGTGCAATTGCTTGCGCTCTTGCCATCTTTGGTATATGTTGCCCCATTTTTCCCATTCTGGATCATCTGGTCCCTCCGCTACTTCTATCGTCTCCGAGAAGCGTACTCGCTGTGGTATACGAATACTTGGTGCTTTCGGCGTGTTTGGGTGGTCTCTATGAAATCTATCTAAAAGGTCCTTCGAGGTACGTAATAGTTCACTGCGCGGTTCCCAAGTGTTTTCGGACCGGGGCTTGCCTGTCCAATGCACAAGGTACTGCAGTCCGTTCTTTCGTTCTCGAGAGTCCAGAATCTTATTTACAGTGTCCGGTTGGTCTACAAGCAGCAGCACGGTGTGGGAAGTTTCCTGGTTAGGGAATGTGGGTTCAATGTAAGGGTAAAGGAGTGACTCGTTGAACACAGGGTGGATACCCTTCCACGACACCGGTAGTTTTAATTTAAAGGTGCTTGCACCTATCTTTTTCTCAATACGGAAAGGACCGTATCGCTTGTCGTCCATCTTTTTATTCGGCTTTTCTGTTCTGATATTGGTCCCTTTGACCCATACCAGATCTCCTTCTTTATACTCCCGCGCATCCTTCTTCTTGCGGTCATAGTATTTTTTCATTGACTCCTTGCTGAGTTCCAGCGCCTGGCCGGCTTCTTTCTGCAATTGAGCCATTTTCTCAGCCCACTGTGAAGCAGACTCGTTTTTCATCTCCTTCCTCGTCTCTACGCCTGTGAAGGCATCGTGTCCGTGTGTTAAATAAAAGGGCGAGAAGCCTGTAGACGAATGTTTGCGGTTTCGATGAGTGAATTCCGCCATTGGGAGCCAGTCCGGCCAATCATCTTGTCGGTACGAGACGAAGATCTGAAGATATGTCTTGAGTTCCTAATTGACTTGTTCTGTCTGCCCGTCCGTCTGCGGGTGATACGTGGTACTGGGGTTTCCCGTGATCCCGAGCTTCTTGTAAATGTCCCTTATAAAATTAGAAACGAATTGTGGGCCGCGATCTGAAAAGATCCGGTGTGATAGTCCGTGTTTCGAAAAGATGTGCTTCAGATAGAGGTTTGCAAAACCTTCTGAAGACAACGTGTCCGATGTAGCTACCGAAATATAGTCCTTCGACTTCAAGTCGACGAAGTTAATTATGGTGTTGTGTCCGTGAACTTCCGGTAGATACGTAATCAGGTCTACTGATATGTACTCCCAGTTGTTTTCTGGCACAGGATTAAGGTTAAGTGGAGCGGCACGTGCTTGTCTATGGGCCTTGGCCTTCTGGCATGCTTCGCATCCAATAACATAGTCGTGTATGTCCTTTTTCCTGGTGGGCCACCAGTACGAACGATCTACCAATTCTATGGTTTTTTCAATGCCGGGATGACCTGCGCTAGGCATGTCATGATGCGCAGCAATGACGTCACCGATTAGAGATCGGTTCGTGGGTATAACAAGTCTCCCCCTTCTATAGATTAGACCGTCCTCGGTCGTCACGTGAGGGTCCTTGTCCAATAGCTGAACTACTGTTTCCGGGTAGTCGGGTATTGATAATTTAGCACATTTAATTATGTCGTCAGCGCCTGGTGCAGTGACCGCGTTAAAATATTCGGCTTTCAAAACAGTTACATCGTCTAAGTGGCCGTCACCAATGTCGAGGTCTGGCCTACGAGACAAAGGGTCTGCCACGATGTTTGTTTTACCCACCTTGTGGGTCAATAAAAAGTCGTACTCCTGGAGCTCCAAGACCCAGTGTGCTTGACGTGGGTTGATCCGTTGCGGCTTCCTGAAGTACTCTAGGTTTTTGTGGTCCGTCCAGACTTCTACCGTATGCGCAGCACTCAGTAAGAAGTGTCGCCACTCTTCTAAAGCTACAATAATAGCTAAAAGTTCTCTATCGTAAATTTCATAGTTCCTCTCAGCGGGAGACAGACTATGAGATAAGAAACAGACAGGATGCCAAACATCATTCTGTTTCTGCGAAAGTACGGCGCCGACAGCGTATTTCAATGTGTCGACTTCTACTCTAAAAGGGTCTGTGTCGGTTGGTATACCGAGAACCGGGGCGTTGGTCATGGTATCCTTGAGCATCTCGAACACCATCTTAGTGTCTGCCCCCCAGATCCAATCGACATTGCCAGTCAGCCGGTTCAAAGGCGTCACAATCCGTGCGAAGTCCTTCACAAATCTACAGTAAAAGTTCGCAAATCCCAGGAAACTTTGTAAGTCCTTCTTACAGGTAGGCTCGGGCCAGTCTGCCACCGCAGCCACTTTTCCGGGGTCCATTCGTGCCATAAGAAATAAGATGTCTGAGTTATTCTACTTCTGACTTTTCAAATTCGCATTTTTCCGGCTTACACCTGAGTTTATTCTGCCTGAGAATATCTAAGACATGTCTTGTGTCCTCACGATGTGTTTGCAAATCGTCAGAGAATATCAAAATATCATCTAAATAAACGATGGCCTTCCCTTGCATGATCATCTCATAGAACAAGTTGTTCATCATCATTTGGAAGGTGGACGGGGAGTTCGTAAGGCCAAAGAACATGACCAGGGGTTCGTAAAGGCCACGGTTCGTGATGAACGCGCCTTTTTCTTCATCACCCTTTTTCATACAAACGTTGTTGTATCCCCAACGTATGTCCAGCTTCGAGAAATAACGACAGTTTTTCAGCTTGTTCAAAAGTTCTGAGATAAGTGGCAAAGGGTATTTGTTTTTCTTTGTCATCTCATTTAATTTACGATAGTCCTGCACAGGCCGCGATTTCCCGTCCTTTTTCTTTACAAAGAAGAATGGAGCCCCCCATGGTGACTTCAAGGGTCTGATTTGTCTGGTTTTGAGATTTTCTTCTAGAAATTCATCTAGCGCCTTCTGCTTGTGGAGAGCCATGGGGTAGACCTTTCCGCAATAGGGTTTAGCTCCTGGAAGGAGTTCTATTGCGTGGTCCCACAGCTTCCGATCCGGTAGAGTGTTAAATGTGTCTTCTGAGAACACGTCGGCAAAATCTCGGTAGTGTTCCGGAACTACTTCCTCCATCTTTTTAGCTTTGTATTTTCCCTCCGCTATCGCTATGTCCGTAGTGTTGGCGCGAAGGTACTCTTTGCAATCGTGGACGGTTCTAAGCCATGCGTTGCTATCCATCATAAATATGCGATCCTCGTGTTTGACTAGGTTTTCGCTGAAAACAGAGCATGATTCTGGGCATCGATCAAATTTTAACAGCTTGCACTGCCAATCGATGGTTGGATTATGGTGCTGAATCCAATCAAAGCCCAAGAATATATCTGCACTCTGTAATTCAGTTACAAGGAATTGATGTTTTTCCTTGTGTTTCCCAGTGCCTACTACGAGTTCTACATAGTCCGTGATCCTTCCCCCAGAGTTTGTTGTCCCATCTGCATTATAAACTTTGATAGGATTGGTGATTTTGTGTACTTCAATACCATGTCGTACCACAAAATTCCTATCAATGCACGAGCCCATGCTTCCTGAGTCTAATAACGCTCACGTGTCGATCACCTTTTCCGTTTCTGGAATGATGACTGCGATAGGCAACTCCATCTGTCTACCACGACCTACACATTTGACAACAACTGTTCCTCGGAGCTTTTCTCCAGTGCTGCCAAAGCCACTACTACCTCTACTAGTGTCCTGAATTGTTCCTGCGACAATGTCTATTTCCGGGACCTCGGCGCATTCCATAATCAACTGCACAATTCTCATGCTATATTCAACATGGAATTCCTTGTCCGAATTATTGATGAGGAGGACCTTAAGTCATCCAGTGTAATCAGGATCAATTACACCAGCGCCCACATCTAGACCTTTGACTGCGAGTCCAGATCGTGGTGCGATTCGACCGTATACGCCTTTCGGCATCTTCATTCGGATTCCTGTGTCTACTAGCATGCGAGAATGTGCAGCTATAAATAAATCTTCTGCCGCGTAAAGATTGTATCCAACGGAGCCCTCCATTTGTCGCTTTGGAGCTATGGCTCTTGGATCGTCAAGATAGATCTTTAGTGCGGGTTTTGGTTTCGATGCACTCGAATTCTTTTTCGATGTTTTTGTATTTTTGTTGGAGGAATTAAGCACAGTTGTAGCACTGCCGCGCTCATTGTGAGATGCCTCCGCTTTGTAGGTAGGTATAAATAGTGTATCACGTGTATGTATGTCCGTAGGGGATACATCATCATCTTCGATGAGATCCACGCTGTCCGAAAGAGGTGAAAACCTATTCATAATTGGCAGGGCAACTGGTGCATTCAGTTGTTGCCGAAGCGAAAACCCGCCTTTGCGAAAAGCTCGGGCTTGCTTGCATATAGTCCTCGTAAATAATTTAGTCCCTGGTCATCATTGTCCAGGTTGACCGTAGCGGGGTTTTCAGTGTCCACTTGTGCCGCCGACTGCTCAACAGTTACCTCCTGCACTCTTTGGGGTTGGTAATCTGCTGGCCGGTTCAGCATGTGCCAATATCCTCCGCACGTTCCTTTCTCGGTCTGCTTCCTTCCACATTTGATGCAAGTGCGATCTACTTGCATTGGCTGTCCTCCTCCTTGATACAATGTTCCCGTTGCATCTCTCCTTGGCGTGTACGCCGGCGCAGCTACTGGAATGATTCCAGGGGTTCTTTGTGATACTGCTGGAGCAGCTTGACGAGCCGGTTGTTGTGCCGGCTTGCTTCCAGAAGCGTTTGATGTGCTGTGGTAGCGGCTCCACAAAGCTTTCTCCTCCTGTCTCATCCTCCAGTTCCGGTCTATCCCCTGAATCCTTCTCACCCACTGCTCGGTGGTTACCGGGAGGTTGCCACTCATGTAAATCTGATCTACAATCTGTTGGCTTGCGCCTCTTTTGAGCAGTCGGATCACATGATCCGCGGTGAGGTCATATTGGGCCTGGTTGACCAGGTCCTCGAATTCGATGAGGAAGTCATCGGCTGATCGGCTGCCTTGCTGAATGTACTCCAGCTTCTGCTGGGCCTTTTCCCTCAGACTGATGTCCAGGAAGTGGTTGTCGAACAACTCCCAGACCCTCTGGGCCGTAATTTTCCACACCCCCTGTGCGCACTGAGTTGTGTAAAGGAGACGAATGTATGCATCTACTTTTGGACCGCGGACAAAGCTGATGATGATGTTGATCATCCTCGTGTTGTCCGTGACATTGTGGTCCTCTAGATAGAGCAACACCTCCATCTTCCACTTCTCGTACTTCTCCTTTTCTCTGGTGAAATCTTCTGGTTTGTTCACCAGAGACTTCCTGCCTGCTGATCCGTGCTGCTGGCCCTGTTGCATCAGCTGCAGCATTTGGGCTATCTGCGCAAAGGCATTCGTGAAGATAGCCATAGCGGGATCAGGCTGTCCTTGTCCGGTGGGTGGAACCGGGGCAGGTTGGGGAGGGGATCGAGGTGGATGGCGTGCGCACGGTTGGCGCAATGGCACCTGAGGTTGTACCAGTTGTTCATCCGGCATCTGTGTATCGTTGTCAGCAGGAATAGGAAAACGTGGGGAGCCACCCTGCGAGTGGTGTGGACTTCTCGAGTGATGTGATGTCCTCGAGCCATGACGTGAAGGGTCGCGTGCGAGTGGGTCTCATACGGCGTGTGACATTGAGCTTTTTTCGAGGATTTCCTGACCTCGGAGCCTTCCGTACGCGTTGCTAGGCTTCTTACCTAGGCTAGGGCTCTCAACCTAGACTTTCCGGTACCCTGGGACTTCCTGACCCTGGTTTCCTATTGCCTATTCAAGGGCTAGTCGGTGGAGCTTCCGACCTCAATTGCTCTGCTCCTCGGGGATTTCCTGACCCCGGAACCCAATTTCCAAAACCAGACCGCTTTTGGGTCTATGAAAACCATGCGCTGCCTGGTCCCCTGTCACCTGAACAGGATCAACCCAAAAAGGCTATCTGAGCCTGCACAGCCATTCTATCCGGAAGGTGTAAAGGTTCCCTGTTCCTACCGCTAAGTCTTCCTCTTAGCCAATAGGGGTAACTCGCAGGGACAAAGTATTGCTACACTAGCCTACTACTACTTATCTAGGCTCCGCAGTAATCAACTCGATTCGCGATCGCTGTGAGGCCCGTGCTGCTTTTGATTATTATGCAGTGGGTTCCCTAATCATGGAGGGGGTTCAGCCCCTTGGAAGCTACCACTGAAGGTAAACTTCCCGAAGGTTCATTTTGAGTCGACCGGCTCTGTACGTAGCTATCTACCCTTGTCAAAGTGCCTGCGGTGGGCGGTAGAAAAGAATGCCAATAATGGCTACACCTTAAGCCTGGTGCCCGGCTCTGCAAGACTGTGTTGTCTTGGTTGATTGATGAGTGTCGGATGAGAGAGCAGGGTTGTGGTGGTTCGCCCCAGAGTATGGCAGATGTGGTGACTTGCACTTTAGAGAGTTCTTTGCCCTATGAAGCCCGGGTTTAATACCGGAGGGTGGTCACTCTCGAAGTGCAAGGGTTTGAAAGACGCGGTAATACCGGTCAAGCGAGTTCGGAGTGTGGTAGTCTTCAGTTAATGACACGGCTAGATTTTAGCTTTGAATGGCCAACTGAAGACTGAGGAACGACCTCAGCTTCAGCCTGCTTATATATTGCATGAACTACATGACAAACTACATATGACTACAGATAGTGAAATAGGCATATCAGTGAAGAGAGTGATAAGCATACATGAGGAATACATGTGTAAGTAATAGATACCATATATGGAGACGTGATAGGAAAAGAAGAAAAGAGAGTTCCATATGATCCAAATAGTATGTCTGTAATGAAAGAACCGTAACAATAATGGTTGCGTGTTATAATCCATTGCAGGTTTGTCGCCATAATTTTCCTTGGTGGTATGAATGGCCAGTTATTGTCACAGTTTGTGAAGGGTTGGTATGTGCTTTCATAAATATACTCATTTCAATTACACTATGTATTGTATAGATTCCGACACTGTATGCTGACAATCATACAGATAGTAAGACCTCGAAATCCGTCACATTGATACACCTAATACAACGAGATTGCTTCGTCCTCCGAGTCCAGAGGGTCCTCGCCGTCCTCAGGCCCAAGTTCATCTGACAAGTCTGAAGATGTTCCATCATCGTCCGAGTCCGAGTCTCTGCTCTTATCATCATCGGACTCGCTCATACCTGGAATACTGCTCGCCACGCTGCCAGGAATCTCATATACGCTGTTGTCGTCATCTTCCACCTGTGTTACACCACTCGTGGTTGGAATGGGCATCTCATTGTATTGCTCAGCGTGTCCGTCACATGCTGATTGATGCGGGCCATGTCCAATTCCGCAGCCTTGATACCGCATGAACATATCCCTGTCAATGAAACTGGGAGCCAGTGTCAGCTGCCATCCTAGTGAAATAAAACTAAGCCTACATGTTGACATAATAAGATGCCCAGTCATCCACCTCACCAGCGGTTCGCGCTATGGAATCAGGGCAACTGAGTAGCTCCGAAGTGCGACCATCAGCAAAGGTTGGTATCAGATGACACCCTCTAATGACCAGAGAAGGGTCGAGGAAGCCAAATGCACATGGGTCTGATTCGGGAACAAACCCGATCTTGGGGAGACATGCTCGGTAGGATCCGTATTGGTGATCAGGATCGATGCCGAACCAGCGTACCCAAAGAAACTCGATGCGTTGAAGTGAGCAATTGGTGGCCGTGGCGTCAGCATGAACAACGGAGGCGTGGAATATTCCAATAACACGAGCATACCAGTACGGATGGACTCCCGGACCCGACTCACAAGAATGAATCATAATGTCACAATGAGCGTGTGAGTTCATGGAATCCTGGTTCCGTCGTATGTCGTATATCGTGTAGTTCACCCGTAAGACTTTGTGATGGTAAATCTTGTTTCCCAGTATGATCACGGAGTCACACTGTGCTGCCATGTACTCATGTTTGTTCCCGTCGAAGTCCAAGCCAAGAAGGCGAGATAAAAGGTGATTCTTCAGTTGGGGAATGAAGTTCTGCACAGTAAACAGACATCAGGCCCGGGATGCATATCGCTGTATGCTTGCCATGCTTACCTTAACAGCTGGATCGGTTCCAAGCTCATGTACAAAGGCAAAAAGATGACGGGGATAGCTCATTGAATCGGACATATGATGGTGCATATGGATGTCTGTGTATGGTAGCGGCTCGGAATCCACGAAGCTGACGTGTTGAGGGCGGCAGCGCAGCTTCTCTTCATCCCCTAGTCGGCGCAGCTGGGTCTCACACCGCTCCAGTCTCGTGAGTTGGCTCGCGGGATCATTTTTGTTGGTAAGTGCATAGTGTCACTTGGTTTGCTGATGTTCAAGTTCGCCCTAATATTCGTTACAATAAATCAGAATTACAAAACAACAGAGGTATGCATTGTGACTTACAGTTTGTGTCGTGTACGAGTCAGTGGTTCTGAGACGTGGTATGAGATGGGCATAATCACCAAAAGCATGATGCTTGTATGTGCAGAGATTGAAAGCCTTCAATCGATGGGTTTCACCAGATGGTTTTTGGTTATTCTGTGTCATAGATGCTCGCTGCTGGTCTTGTCGAGTTCGCGCTCGTGCTTCCTTTGGAAGCTCGACAGTCTTGAATGCTGGGCAGACATGATCATGGAAGTGTCGCAAGCATTTCCCGAGCTGTTCAGTGATCTGTCGCAATCTGTCTAATGTAGAGTCTGTATGCATGCGCAGCTTTGCGAGTGCATGCCACTCTGCAAAGCGGTACAGAAGCGACATGATGACATTGTCGAACTCAGAGGGTAGCAAGCCCTCGAAAGCTGTGATTGAGCACTGCAGAGATGAGTATATCATTTCCTCCGGAAAGAGATTGATGGATACCTGCAGAAGGTCCTCATAGTTGCGTGCTGCCATCTTCTTCATTTCCGAGACATTCTCTGAGAATCTACGGATGGTGGTACATCCAAATGGAGGGATTTGACGAAATCTATTTGTTTGTGATATAATGCCATTGAGTAGACATCACTTACAAAAAAGGACACCTACCGATGATTCAATTCGACAACCATTTGTCCTGATGGAGCAACTGCATAGAGAATACGAATCAAATGAGTGAACAGTGCCTTCCATACTCCAAGTTCAACTTCGTGCATGAAATCGACAGGAAGAATTGAGAAGACATCGAAAGAATCTCCCAGACAGCTGGTAAATGCATTCTTGATGACGATTATGAATGATATAAATAGTAGGACACAGTAGTTATGCACATACCAAGGTCGGTACAAGCAATTGAGGCTTGAGCAATCTCTGTATGGCTGCACTTGTAACTCCGAGACCTTGTTGGTAGATGCCTTCACGAGCAGAAAGCACAAGATCTCGAACACGAGATGTCCATGTCCTGATGATACCAGGGGCCTCCCGACAGCGGAGATCATGCTTGTAGCCCGTTTTCCAAAGGTCAGTCTTAAGTGTGAGGCATCATGGACAAGGACATTGGCCATTGTCCCTCAATGTAGTGATTAAGACTCTGTGGCCATATTAGGTTCACGTATAACGTGATATACTCATGTATGTACTTTTCGGGATAATCAGCTGAATATGTGAATATTTGAGGATAAACCCGTCTCCAGACACCATCAGCACATTGGATAACGATGCCATACTTGTATGCATGCACGAAGTCTGCATCAAGTAGGTGCTTCCAGATCGCATGAAAGAGTTCACGGCGACAATGTGTGAGTAGCGCGGAACTCTTCTCTCCTGCATCGCTGCGAAAAGAGTTGATGAATTCCTACACCTTGTCGGGAAGCTAGATCAATGTTATTAACATACAAGCTAAATAAATGTTGAGTAAACACTCACGCTTGGAATATAGGCTACATGATGACCTGCGTGCTTACTCGGACAAGCACGAATATATTTCGACAGATTGCCAAAATAAAGATAGATCGGCCACACTTTTGCTGATCCAAAATTCGCAAGGTGCATTGAGTCAGACCAGAACATCAGTCCCACAATCACTCGTTCTAGCTGACAGCCTGGCTCCGGAGGCTGCCTCTGAAGGTCGTCGTGTGCTTGAAGCCAAGCATCAGAAGTATAGAGCTCATCATAGACACGTTCAGTGTGCGATGCAGATGTCGATTGCCAAAGGAGCTTGAAGGGAAAGAGATGAAATTGGCGAGCCAGGGGCTCTGCAAAAGCGGATCGAATTACACTGATAAGTGGCCGATAGTGAAGACCGCTAATGGAGAAGGTTTTATAACCAGGAGATTCGGGGCTGTCTCGTTCACCTGTCGGAATGTCTATGTCAACGGATGTCTTTCTCCATCCATCACCAGCAAATGGGGCTGACTGGGCATCTGATGCGACATCTGGTGTGTCTTCCTCAGAGCCATCTATGCGCTTTGCTTCACGCGCAACCCTGAAATGATGCAGGTCGGATGCTGCGAAGTCATCTGCGAGGAGAACGTCATGCACAAGACGATTTGTTTCTCCCGCTGATTTCTGACCACTTCCAGAGCTAAACCAGTTCATCAGCCACCAGATAGACATATTCGCGAAGGGCCACGGTGGTGCTCTGTCGGCTGGTGGTGTGGATGTTGAAGTGAAAGAATCGCTGTTTAACAATCCCCCCTGTATATCTTTGCAGGGCCCCTTGTTGCGATAGTCTGCGAGATCCTCCGGACGCACTGCTGCATCTGGATCAAACAAGGGGCAATGCAGATACTCACGGAGGACACCGAATGCATTAACCGCAGTTCACATGGAGTCCCGGACATGTAGGATTACACGCCGCACAGCACTGGGATTAGGAGGTGCATCCATGATAGGCTCAGGATTAATGGCAGGGGACGGGCCCTCCGGTATGACATCAAGATGTCAGCTGACATGCCGAACACACGTTATGTCTTGCATAGACTGATAGTGTCTCGGCAGCCTCCATTCACGTGTTGGTCGACCAATTTCCACAGCGACATCCCTACTTGGTGCATCCGATACTGACCCAGTCGAAGGGCCGGGCAAGTCTGTATAGTCATTATTGCCCACGTACACATCTGAGCTTGTCTCGTCGACCACCATAGGCTTCAAATGCAACATACAAGTGAGTGAATCACCTCATTGACAAATAGTTGAGAAATACTGACCGCATCCTGACTATGGGATTGTATGGCCTGCCCCGTGGCTGCCTTTCTTATCTTCTCTTCCCTTTTGGCTTTCTGGCGAGTCCGCAACTCTCGATACTTTGCAGCATCTTGGAGAATTGTTTGCTGATACTCAGCACATTGATTACAGTGATGTTTGAGAAGTGAAGTCTTGTTTGTTGTGAAGCAGCACTTCTTTTCTATACAATGGTGCATACAGAGAAGAAGTACGAGTACAAGAAACAAGGTGAATCGTGAAGCTTGATGGTCTAGCCTCATCTGAGTTACAGAGTCATAGACAGACACGGCTCGTAGCTTCAACCAGAGAGATTGTTGTGCAGAGTGAGTACTTCAGCACACCACTAGAATGACGAGTTGCTCACTGGATCTAGGTGGGGCTTTGAAGCCTGATGTGGTCGGGCCTGGCTCATACTGAGCCATATCAAGCCCAGCCCAAGCTGTATAAGGCCAGGCCAAGCCACCGAAGGCTGGGTAGGGCTTTGTGTCCGAGCTAGGCCCTGAATGATATAAATTTGTTCAGCAAACCACTGCCTTTTTCACTCCACCATCTCGCACCATGTCGCATGCAACAGCTACTGAAACATTTATCTTTCCATTCTATTTCTTGTACTACTAGCGCCCATACTGGTGCCTGTCTTAGCGCTCACCCGCAGGTTGAACATTATGTAGCTTACATAATGGGGTCCGTGCGCACTTCATGCCTGGTATCATACCACTACGTTTCCTTCTTTACTAACACGACCACACAGACACAGTGGTCCGTGCGTAGCCGGTACTTGTATAACTACCATTAGTCGGTCGAACCCTAAGTTCGACCTGGTTATTCATTCAAGTCTCTGCTCCTCCTCGCTTGGGGTAGTGGTCATTCTCGACTTCCTCGCTTGATCTTTAGGACGATGTACTGTCCATAAGTCCTCGCTCGTTGTCTATGAGTCAGGCATCAATATAGGAGTATAGACCATTGTATCAGCTACAGCATCACCAACCAGTTCTGCAGCTGCGCTGCATGACCAGTCTACCCCTCCTATACATCCTTCATTTCTTGCTGAGACTGTTGCTCGTCTTAAACGTCAGCTAGCTGAACTGAGTTCAGAAAATGCATTTCTCAAAGAAGCTGATGCGGACCCTGTTGTAATGCCTTTGTGAGTAGTTTATACCATTTGATTGTTTTCTGTCAATTACAACTGGTTACTTAGATCCGAGTCGCATGCCCACATGGGACGGGCTTTCCGACGTGTTGTGTCACTCTACGACAATCCGGCAGACCTCTTTGCTGAACACGATCGATGCATGGAAGCGGAAGACTTATCTGACAGCAATGAGGGCAGCGGCCGCTGTCTGCAGCATAGGTTTGTTCATTAATATGAATATGTCTACAGTGATAAAAGATGTGTGTTGTAGTGCCGACAACGAGCGCACCTATAGAGCATATCACGCAATGGTGTACCATCTCCCTCTGGTGATGAAATCCTTCAATCCTGACTCTGGATCTGCATTGCCAGTCCGTCAGATCGGGGTGTTATATAAACAGGTGTGCCAGCAGTGCATTATTGTATGGTGCTGGCTTATAGTATAGCTATATCCAAAAGTTGCGGAAGGGAGCTGATGCAGCACGTGGCGATGACATCTCTAACTTAAATAAGAACTTCATAACTTGGCTTCAGCACCTTTCCCCGGGATTGCCAGCAGTTACTGCGCTTGTACAATATCCAGGCTTGAAGATGATCCGTGGCTTCAATAACGATGCAACAGCATGTTTACTGATTCCAGTTGAATGGAGCTGGGACGATGAGGAGTGCGTTTGGTCGCACATGTTGAACTCGTAATTACTTTTGACCTTTTACATCTAGAACACGTACCGGAATCAAGGATGGTAACCCGAGGTTTTACATTGGACCGCACCACTTGCCTGCTTTCCTTTTTGTGCATTTTAAGAGTAATCCAGATGACCGAGAGGAGGGTATCTTCCGGAGTTCTATTCTGATTTCAGTAGGTCTCCGATTCATTGCTTGACGTGCACTAAACTGTTCTGCAGGCATGTAGATCAATTTTGACATCCCCCAGGTCTGCCGGAGCTGTCGAAGATGCTGACAATCCTGAATCTGGACGCACAGAAGGTGGTGAGCCACTGTGCAAGAAGCGAAAGAAGAGAGCTCCTACCAAACGCAGTACAGTCACGCAAATCATTGGTTTGAAGCACATTACAGGGCGCGTTATTGCCTATATTTGTGTGCTGGTATGTTCCATCCTCCACGTCGATTATCATCTCGTAGCTCATCATTTCATACTAGTTACATTTCACACTGAGTGATTTCGATTCGTGGAGCAATGACCTCGACGGGTTTGACTACCGCACCTTTTACAACAGTATAGTCGACTGGTTTGAGGCTGCCCCGGGTCCTTTGTCAGCTCAGCGCAACACAGAATTGCTCCAGTGGTTGGATGAGTAAGTCTTGCTCTCTGCGGCCTGAGTGTCTTGCTGATGCCTCAATGAGGCAAATATTTCAGACAACACCAGTACTAGAACCAGGTGCGGCTGCTAGCATGTCAGGAGCTTAGCTTCTGGCTCAACGTCTACAGAAGGAGCAGACGGCTGCTTCGGGCGGGAATCTGTAGATTGCCACACCTGTATTGTTGCGAGAAAATATACGTGATTTGTGATATTTCTGTCCTGAGGACCCAGGGGACCACGATCTGAGCCTATCCGGGCAATTACTTGTTGCCATACCCAGCGGATTGTGACAAAACCATAGATGGGAATACAATAGACACAATACTGCAATTTGTGCGCAAGGTAGCATTGGATTACAACCCGATATAAGAGACATAATCTCGACCTAGATGTACAGATGGCATAATTTTGCCGTAGCCTGACAAGCTCATACCGTATAATGCAAGAAATATGACACCTTGCCAATAACCATCAGTATTGCACCTATTGCAATGGATTGGGATATTGCCAAAGCAGACTCGCCTCGATAATTGTATATCTCTCATGTACAATTATGGTGCTTGATTACATTGATTGTGTCATCATGTAATAGATTGCAAGATGGATCTGGTTTTGCTGATGTAATGTAGGTCCTATTACTGTTTGCAAGCCCTGTCGCTCACGACACCGTCATATACGACCCTACCTGATTCGCTTGCGTGCAGTGACTATCAGCATATTTGGATCATTATATATGGTACGTTCGCTTTTCTCGCTTCCTCTACCCATGTGCTATTCCATACATAATCACTACAGATTGTGATTCCTTTTGCAGCCCCTATCACTCCCGCCACCCTCATATATGATGCAACATATTTCTTTCGTTATACATGGTACATCCAATTTTCCTGCTTCCTCTGCTCGCGCACTATTCCATACACAATCACTGATAGATTGTGATTTCTTTTGCAGCTCTATCACTCCCGACACCATCATACATGATGCGACTTGATTCGTTCATGCACAGTGGCTATTGCCATATTTGTTTCATTATACATGGTACGTTCACACTGTCCGCTTCTTTTGATTGGGCAGTATTTCATACATAACCACTTGATATCATATTAGATTTGCCCTCATTTTGGTTCATATTATCATACATGACGCATACTGATGCAAGTCCCCTTTCATGTTGCTCCTGACCCCATCATGTATAATTTCACCTGATTTGCTCAACGTGCAGCCACTATTGACTCTAAGTCACTCATTTAGTTGTACCAAGGACATTATCACACCAAATCACTAAGTTGCACTTTCAGGGTACATCAGCAAATGTGCACCACATCTGAGTTGGTCTGAGCTGTCTGATAGCATCTGAGACACCTGAACACTCTGACATTCATGGAGACCTCAGATAATTCACACCAGCCCAGATGCGTCAGACAACACATGTAGAGTTTCAGTTCTACAGATGCATCAATCTGGTATAATAGACCAGCGCAAGATGCATCTGTGCCGGGCCAGCGCAAATAATAGTTTTATCGAAAGCAAAATATAACCACACGAATGGGATTCGAACTCCCGGCCACCAAAAACACACAATGCTAATGCTAATGACCATTACACCAAATGGCTATAAACTACATGAGCTAAATATATATTGTGTGAGACAAATGATTGTGGCAGCCCCTTTCTCAAAGTACCCCTCATGCACGTACATTTGCATTGGATGCATCTGCATGCCCCTAACCTCGGCACGCAGGTACACATCTTCAAGAAGGGTGCTCCCACGCTCACAGAAGGGTCTCGTTTGTTGGAACTTGGAATTGTGGCGAGTGCATGCCATAGTATTTGGTGTTGTTTGTAGTACCTCGCAGACTTTGTGCGAGCCATCCTGTACGTTCCTTACGTGGTCTATTGATGAAATAGCTGCTTGGGGCAGATGGTCACAGGTGGAGGCAATCACCATGTTCTGCTACTTCTACTCTCCGAATGACAATCACGAGTATATGGTAGATTACGATAGGAATGATGGTAAGCATTCACACACTATGTAAAGCAGTATGTGATGTAAATGAATAGTGGTATTTATGGCTACTATCTATACCACTCTAAGCCAAGCTCCCGCCAAATCTCCCAATCGTTCATGCTCTTCCACCTTTCACACCAACACTGCTCTGAGAATGTACTGAACACATCTTGGTATTCCGGCTTAAGCTGCTCGTGAGCAATATCCTTCTTGCAGTGAGGAATGGCTTCAACCACAAGCCTGTATGCATGCAATGAATCCTGCTTGCGCCTTTTCCGCAGGTCTGGTGGCTCAGCAAAGAATGCATAAAAGTGGTCTTTGTCACCTCCAAATGCATCCTGCAGCTCCCCATAAAGACATTCACGACGACAGATGCCAACCTTGATGGTTTCCCAGGCCCAGGTACCTCCGTATTGTGTGCGAAGTCTTGCAACAGACCCGTTTTCAACCTGGGCAATGACATCATGGATCCCGGTGACATGCTCAAGAGCAGCAAAGTCCTTCTGGCATGCATCGAGAATGGCCCTGTCGTTCTCCTGAACACTGGAAGGTGTCAACAGTTCTTCCGATGTTGCCTCGATTAGTGATGTAGTTGCATTGGCAGTAGGTACTTGATTAGACATTGATACAGTCTACAAAATGGCAAAGTCAACAGGGACAGAAAGGATCCATAGCTGTATGGGAAAGGTACTCACATTAACCAATAGCGAGGAAGGCCCGGCAACAGAAGTCCCATCGGGTACAAGCAGCCATTGCGCCACCGACAGGCCTGCAATTGCATACGGATTGCCAGCCTGTGCAGCTTCAACCCATGACCTGACAGTATCAAATGTCATTTTGGCCTGGTGTGATGGTGTCGAGGGCAGGCTTGCCAAGGAAGCTGCAGCCATGGGAGTCGAAAGGCCAGGGCTCACCAGCAAGGGAGCTGCAGCCGAGTGTGTGGGAGAGCGCGCTGTGCAGAAGCAAGGAAGTCAGATTGATGGGACATCAAATACCGATGCAGCTGGCGCACCTAATCAGGCCGCATCCTCGTCCAATACAAACAGCACACCCCGCGCAGCCTTCTCTCGCCACTCGTCAGCGAGATCACGGAGATGCGCCCACTGCCGGCACTGGATCTCCTCGTTGATGGGGTGTGGGCTGGAGGCAGGCGATGCGGGCTCGATTGCCTGGGCAAGATTGAGGCCATAGTGCCGGGCCATGCACTCCCACAGCTTGTCGACCTTCCCCGAGAGCGCGATCAACTTCTTGCCCGTGTTCTGATTGATGGCATCAATCCAATGCTGCAATTGGACGTGTTTGGCCGAGGTGAGGTCGATGACAGATGGGGCAGACGGCGCGGACATGGGTATGCACGCAAGGGAGCACACGGACATCGAGAGGAAACATGAGAACCAGCGTGCGCCACCCCTGGCGTTGTACGGCGCGAGATCGCGTGCGCACGTCACGCGTGGGCGGGCGGGCGAAATCGCCACACGCTTGCCATATTAGGCAAGGACGAGAGCTGGCAGCCAAACGGCCATTTGCCACCCGCCTGCGCGCTGTCGTCTCTCCGTGCCATGCGCAACGACGTGCGCACGCACGCGTGCGCCCTCCCACGCGCTGCCTGGAACGTGCCGGCATGCTGGAAACGATGTGCGCGACAGTTTGCTTCCGCCGCCGCCGTGTCCAGGGGCCAGTGTTGCGGGGAGCACGGCACAGGGCGGCATGCATGCGCGAGCTCACGTGCGTGTCCCGGGACACGCTGACTAAGCGCGCGCACTTTCCCACCCGCGAGCCGCCCGTGTCCCGCGACAGGAAAGCATCCCAGAACCATTGCGAAAGCATCACGGAAGCGTCACAGTGATAGCTTGCGAGGTCACTTCCGGCCTGACGCTGATCGCACAACATAGGTGGTATGGAGCCATAACATGTATCAAAAACATCGGATTTTATTTTTGCATGGTCATAACACCCATATGTGCTTGTATGCAGATTATTATGTCTATATCCGTGCCTGATAGTACCCGATATTTGGGACAATAACGAAGCGCGCAACCCTATGCTTCACCTGAACGTCACTTTCAGCGTCAGTCAAGCATCAGTCAAGCGTCACACCAGCGTCACACTAGCGTCACGCGAGCATTGGTCAAACGTCGCGCGAGCGTTAGTTTCCCTCAGTCTCGTCTAGAGCCGGTAGCCTTGCACTACGATCCACCGCAATACATGCAGAGCAATTTCATTCTGCACAGCTCTAGGTGAATTGGAGTTGTGAGTAAGTTTCATCTTTTTTGGTGAACTGGTCACGCCTAGAGGAGGTCCCGGATCATAAAGGTTGGAAACATCCCGTTCGATACGGCATGTACAACGCTCGGGACCAGGGGAGCCGCTGTACACATCAAACGTGCGTATGTCGAGGGGTCTCAGACGCGGTCCGAGAATGTCCTCGGCTATGCTAAATATGGGAACGCCGTGGCAGGAATTGCCAGGCTATCTCCGGCGAGCGTCTGCAGTTTCATATGGCGAATATGCACTCCTTCCGTTAACCTCGCTGCCAGTGTTCGCCCTGAAGACCTATTTCACTGGGTCTCGCAAGCATACGCGTGCACACCTACCCACCACCATGGATACTGTTCTCGGTGCAAGCTTTGCCATCGGTCTCGCGGCGGTCAGTCGCAATGTAATTGCAAACACCTACACTCTGGCAGCAGCCGCATTCTTCATCTTTATCGTGGTAAGGACGATTGCTGCACGGATTGCACGACCACCATACCCTCCTGGACCATCTGGTTTGCCAATCCTTGGCAACACATTGCATATCCCTCAATTCCGCCCATGGTTGACATACTCGGAGTGGGCCGCGAAGTATGGTGAGTCCTAGTTTCAACGATTGCTCGAAAGCGTGTTCTGTTGTGCGTTCATCGTTCCTCTTGTCTCATCTAAGAAGAAAGCAAAGACCTATTTCCATGGACTACGCCTCTTCTTCGCTTGCTGCTGCCTACTCAGTGTACAAGAACAATGTTTGTGTCCGTCAATGGGTTAGGGTTATTACAGGCGTCTGTTACTTCCGCCACCTACGCCTGAAGGTCTGCACTACGCACTCGATTTGAATACCTTACGCTTCTTCGCTCCAATCACTCTGCTAAGGGTGTAGCGGTCGTACTGACTCAGCCTGCTACTAGAACGCACTGAGATACTTTCAATGAGCTATGCATGAGAGCATCGTCGCAGTATAATCTTATATTTGTGGGGGCTCTCTCCCTCATAACGGCGTGTCTATAAGTTGATGTGCGGGCTGCTATTCCCAGAGCCAGTTTTCCTGATACGCTATGAATCCGCTTAGCTGCGGATAAAGCCTGCGCTACGAGGCCTCCTTTCAACTCGAAAGCGACTGCATCATCTAGACCGAGAGGCTCTGTCTCTGAAGGTGGTCACCTTGTCTTGTCGATAACGACATTTTGTTTCACGCATTAACTTGACTCCGCATCGTCTTCATGGTATTGGCCTTCCTATCGAGCCATGGCCATCTCAAAGGAACTACGTTGGACTGAGACAGCGGAGCGTGCTCTATATTCTTGCAGGCATACCTTTCGCTTGTGTGGTTCAAGATCGGGGTCGAAAATACAATGCTCACTGATTGCATGTATGGGCAGGAGATACCATACATCTTGAAGCACTCGGCGAGCACATAATCGTGCTCAACTCTAGCCGAGTTGCGAGGGACCTGCTGGATAAACGGTCAGCTATCTATTCTGATCGTCCGCATTTCGTGAGCATCTCCTGGGTTTAGCCGTCTGTCTGTGCACTGACGCTCCTGTAGGTCATGGCGGGTGAACTGTGCGTCGCTGAGAGTCTGTTTAGGAACGACAGTACTTGATGTAGCACTGACCAGTTCAGGATACGGCGCAGAATTGCCCCTCCAGAACTACAACAATGCCTTCAGGGCGCAGCGCAAGATCGTCGCGCAGACGTTCAATCCATCCATGGTCTCGCGCTACTATCATATTCAAGAGGCCGAGGCGCGCAAGCTCGCAAAGAGCATTCTCGATGACCCGAGCGCGCTCATCTCACAGACCAAGTTGTGCGTCTAGCTCCCCTTCGTCTCTTGATTGTCTGTATTCATGGTAACATAGCCGGATTGCGTCCATCATCATGCGCGTCACATATGGCTACACGGTGAAGGGCGAGGACGACCCAATGATCACGATTCCCTTCACCTCGATGGACAACTTCAGCAGGGCGACAGAGCCGGGCATGTGGATGGTCGACCTGATTCCTCAACGTGCGTACGCGAGTCATCAGCGCATCTGGACATGTGCTCATCATTGCTGCAGTCAAGTATCTCCCCGAGTGGACACCCGGGGCAACCTTCTTGCGCACGGCGAAGAAGTGGAAACAGCTTGAATGGAGCGCATCATGGAACCCATATCGGTGGTGCAAGGACAACTTGGTACGTCTTGAACATCGCTGAAGAACCACTTTG